CTAGAGCCCACATGCAGCAAACTACAGAGCCCACGTGCTCTGGAACCCGCGCGCCACAACTACAGAGTCCACGCGCCCTGGAGCCTGCATGCCACAACTAGAGAAGAGAAAACCCACACGCCACAACTAGAGAGCAGCCCGTGCACAACAATGAAGATCCCACATGCCACAACTAAGACCCAACGCATCCAAAAGTAAAATAAATAAATCTTAAAAAAAAAAAAAGAATTTGATCTGGGAACTTAGTTACCTCTCCCACCTACCTGGTTGTCTTCAATCAGAAACCCAGTGACCTCTGGCCAAGCAGTGGCTCTCTGACCATACTCCTATAAATTGTCCCTTCTAAGAGGGAACCTCTGAATTGACCCTCAAGGGAGCTTTTCCTTTGCGTGCAATGTAGCAATAAGATTTTTTCTATGCACTCATAACTAACAGTGTTCTTCAGCAACATGTAGTAGGGTAGATATCGTTTCAGGAAAGTTGTTTCGGTAAAGCCTCCGCAGCCAGCCACCAGGGGGCACAGCCTCCAGGGTTGCCCCAAGATGCCCAGCCATCCATGAGTGGGAAGAGGGAAGCTCTTTAGAAGACAAAACTCAGGTTTGCCTTCTAAAAGATTCTGAGGAGAGTCTATGGGAAGCAGGGACCAGTTCTGGAGTGGGTGCTGTTTCTGAGTGGGGATTAGAAGCACTGGGGATTAACTAGGGACTGGGGGCCATCACGAGGTGAATGGTTTAGTATTGAGGCACCCCCGCCAATAGTTGGGAATTGCAAAGCTTGTCTAGGGGTATCACTGGTAGGAAAGCAGCAGTTGCTGAGAGAGAGGGGTGTCGTTCCCTCTTATGACTGCTGCTGACTCTGGGAGAAATCAGGTTTCCTGCTGGCTCTGCTGCAGGCTTTGTCCGTGTCTCTGTGAGTCTGTTTCTGTTTTGTAGGTAAGTTCATTTGTGTTGTATTTTAGATTCCACATATGAGTGATAGCATATGGTATTTGTCTTTGTCTTTCTGACTTACTTCGCTTAGGTATGTCAATCTCTAGGTCCATCCATGTTGCTGCAAATGGCATTATTTCATTCTTTTTTATGGCTGTGTAGTACTCCATTGTATATATATACCACATCTTCTTTATCCATTCAGCTGTCGATGGACATTTAGGTTGTTTCCACGTCTCAGCTATTGTGAATAGTGCTGCTATAAACATATAGCTGCATGTATCCTTTTGAATTACAGTTTTCTCCAGATATATGCCCAGGAATGGGATTGCTGGATCAGACAGTAACTCTATTTTTACTTTTTTGAGGAACCTCCATACTGATTTCAATAGTGGGTGCACCAACTTACATTCCCACCAACAGTGTAGGAGGGTTCCCTATTCTCCACACCCTTTCCAGCATTTGTCATTTGTAGCCTTTTAATCATGGCCATTCTGACTGGTGTGAGGTGGTACCTCACTGTAGTTTTGATTTGCATTTCTCTAATAATTAGTGATGTTGAGCAGCTTTTCATGTGCTTCTTGGCCATCTGTATGTCTTCTTTGGAGAAATGTCTATTTAGGTCTTCTGCCCATTTTTCAATTGGGTTGTTTGATTTTTTGATGTTGTATGAGCTGTTTGTATATTTCCAAAATTAAGCCCTTGTCAGCCACATCATTTGCAAATATTTTCTCCGAGTCTGTAGGTTGTCTTTTCGTTTTGTTTATGGTTTCCTTTGCTGTACAGAAGCTTGTAAGTTGACTAGGTCCCACCATTTGTTTATTTTTGCTTTTATTTCTATTGCCTTGGGAGACTGACCCAAGAAAATATTGGTACGATTTATGTCAGAGAATGTTTTGTATATGTTCTCTACTAGGAGTTTTATGGTGTCATGTCTTATAGTTAAGTCTTTAAGCCATGTTATTTCTGTATATGGTGTGAGGGTGTGTTCTAACTTCATTGATTTACATATATGGCCGTACAGCTTTCCCGACACCACTTGCTGAAGAGACTGTCTTTTTTCCATTGTATATTCTTGCCTTCTTTGTCAAAGATTAAGTGACTGTAGGTGTGTGGGTTTATTTCTGGGCTTATTGGGTCTTTTTTTTTTTTTTTTTTTGAGTCACCGTGCGGCTTTCAGGATCTTAGTTCCCCAACCAGGGATTGAACCCGTGCCCTCGGCAGTGAAAGCGCAGGGCCCTGCCCACTGGACTGCCAGGGAATTCCCTTATTGGGTCTTGATATAAAATGCACTTCTTACTGTGGGTCAACATTAAAAAAAAAAAAGGAAAGCCACCATCTGATAAACTGCTCCCTAGTCTTTTCAACATCAGGACACACATAGAAAATGATTATCTGTTTAACACAAATGATACTTGTCCAACTCACTGGGGCAACTAAATGAAGCTTCTTGGAGCTTAAGAGGTGACTGGAACAGGGTCACCCTGGACCCTGCCTGGCTGTTCTGTGGTGATGGGCACAATATCCCAGGCAAGCCCAAAGCACTCAAGGAGCTCCAGTCTGCAGAACAGGAGCAATTACAGCTCAGCAAAAAGCGATCATTTCTGGGAACAGCCAGAGCCTGTGTGCACTAGAAGGCAGGAGTGATCTGAGTTCTGAGACCTGGGCCCAAACAGGGCCTTTTGCCACCGACTTGGTTCAGCAATGAACTGCCCTTGAGCCCCTCAGTGTGGGTCCTGGAAAGCACCTGACCTCTCCACCGCCTGGGAGCGGTCCTCACAAGGCATTCACATGATCACATGGTTTTATAAAATTTGCAAAATTTGGACACTTAAGCCAGAATCGGTTAAGCCTGCTATCTCGCTCCACTCAGACTTCCTCTTCATCACGTTTCCCCTCCTGCTAGGAGGCCTCAGTGTGGCCACAGCACTGTGTGTTCATAACCGTGTATCTTAGTTCTAAAACAGGGCCTCTAACGTTGGAGAGGCTTCAGGCCCCACAAAACCCGCCTCTGCCTCTGCCACCAACCAGGGTCGCAAAGGGGTCAGGGCAGGACTGCGCTGTTGTCCCACCTTCCCTCTTAGGGTCCTTGTAGCAGCCATTCTTGCACACCCATTACTGGGTGGGTTTTCTCTTTCTTTTTGAAATGTATTATTAATATTTAAAATGCACACAGTAAACAAACAGTACAAAAGAGCATGCAATGCACAGTAAGTCACCTGCCAACCCCAGTTCCCAGAGCTGAGCTTCAAAGGGACAATGCCCAAAACAGTGTCTGGTGGATCGTTCAAGAAAATATCTAGATCTAGATCCTATCCTATTTTTTATACAAACAGAAGTATATTTATACACCAGTTGTACAGACAAACCTTAGCAATCTTTCCACATCAGCACGTAGAATATGACTTCATTCTTTTCAACCGCTACATAGACTGTATGTGTGGAATTTACCCTAACCCATTAGGGCCGACTTCATCATGTCCATGACGCACTACTTCACTGCACTTGTCCTGCAACTTCCAGGTGGTTTTGCGCAAGACCTCACAGAAGGCTGTTACCTGTTTCATAATATTTTCTAGTTTTTGATCCTTCACCTAGGAAATCTCACTCAAAAGTCAAGTCAAGCAGGTGGATCCCAAAGTTGGCCACCACGTGTCAGGAAATCAGCTGTTTGCTAAAAAAATCAAACTCCGATCCCTTAAGATTAATGTTGCACCTGCGCCGCCCCGTGGGGAGTAAGACCCGTCCCCTCACCCCCACAATTGCGGGTAAAGCTCCACCTCGGAGGTGCGGGAGTTTACATAACTACCGCGGCCGAGTGGAGGCCGCCCAAGTGCTGGGTCACAATGAGTCATCCCCATTCTGCAAGCTCCGGGTGTCACAATTGTGCCCAGTTCCATTCAGCTCCTCCGCGTCCGGTTTAAATCTTCCAGCCCGTTAAACGCTGGGAGGGCGGGACTGCAGAGCCAGAGCGTTCTAGAGCGAGCAGCGCCACCACGAGGCCAGCTGTGGTGGAGGCGGCGGTCAGGTGCCGGCGCTGGGCAAAGGTTCTCCTCCCCGCACGGAGATTCTCACCGCCCACTTCGGAGGGTGTGGGTTTGATTTCAAGGGAGGGATGGCAGTTTTTCTTGACTGTTCTCTCCCAGAACAGAGACTGATTCTTGGACTCATCTCTCTAGCTCAGTGACTACCCAAGTGTGTGGCGGGGGAGCAAAGTCATACAGGAAGTGCTCCCCATACGTTTGCGGACTGAATGAAGATGCCCCAATAAGTGTACAACGCTCCCACAGCAGGTGTAGGTTATAGTCCCCATTCCATGCGTATGAACTTTTGCGTCCAGGGCCTTTACGACGAACTTCCCTGTGACGCGCCCAACTATTTACGCCGGTCCCTCGGAGGACCGGGTGGAGGAGGGTCAGGATTAGTTATGCAACAAGCGGAGTCAATCCGGGCCTATGGTCTTGGAGACTACAAGTTCCAGAATGCAGCCTTCTGTTAGCGTAGTGAGAGGTTGAGGGAGCATTGCCTTCTGGGAACTACAGTCTTGAGTTTGTTTGTGATGCGAGCGAAACTAGGGGGGAGGGGGAGAGGGAGTAAACTATTAGCACGTGACGCCAGGGATCAGGTGGTAGGGCCAGCCTCCGCGCAAGAGCTGATTGGCTGACTCTAATACGAACGACGCCACTAGGGGTGGGCCGAGGAAGGGCGCAAGCGCACTGCGTTCCGAGTCTCGGGACCCTTTTCCGAGAGACTATGGCGCTCAACAAGAATCACTCGGAGGGCGGCGGAGTGATCGTCAACAATACCGAGAGGTGAAAACACTACGGAAGGATCCTGGAGAACTGAAGGGCGGGCGTCGAGGGTGTGGGTAGTGGGTGGTGGGTGAGTGGGCGGTGGAGAATAAACCCGTGAAGAGGGGAAACTGATGCGGGGGGTGGGGGGTGGGGTAACGGCTGGGGGCGGGGCTGAAGGAAGGTGGGTGAGGCGTGAGGGAAGGGCCGGGATGTTGCAGCTGTGGGATGGGGGTGGGGCGGCTGGCTAGGGTAGGGGTTTGGAGAGACGGGTGGGGGTTTGGAGAGACAGGCGGAACCTGTGGGTAGTTCTTGAGCCCCTGTCCCAGAGTAGGTGACTTTAAGAATTGGGAAGCGCTTTAGACAGAAATAATTGCCGTTTATTGGGCGTTTACTATGTGTCAGGGACTACACCTCTTTTGCTTTTCTCAATATGTAAATCCTGTGTGGCAGATACTATTACTATCCACATTTTACACGTAGGGAAACTGAGGCACAGAGCTTAAGTAACTTGCATGAGATCACAGAGCTGTAATAGGAAAGGAGTCCGGATTCCAAAGTCAGTAGCGTTAATTCCCAGTATGTAGCCTTCCAGTATATTCCAGAACTGCTGTTTCCAGATGAAAAACTGAGGCCCAGAGGTGAAATTACATAGCTAACGTTTGTCACATGTTTGACACGTTTTCTGTAAAAGTCTGTCTTTGCCTCTTTCCCTTGAATTCCTGTTGGCTTGGGTCACTTCCCAGAGCAGAGGTCCCCCAGCTTCAAGGTTCTTCCTACCCACCCCCCGACAATTCTGTCTCTCCTCCACCTCTGGGCTCTTCTCTTGCTCCTTGGGCGCTGAGAATCAGACCAGCCAGCCCTGGTTGAGCTATGCTGACCTGAAAGCACTTTTTGAAGGAGCATAGGAGGAATCTGAGTCCCCACAGGAGACTTGGTGGGATCAAAGTCTGGTAGCTGATTAAGGCCAGCACCCAGCCCAGGGCTGTCATCCGGGAATGCTTGATGAGTCAGAGGAGAGCACCCAGGGAGCCCAGACCTCAGAATATTGACTCTTCCTCCATCTTACCTGCTCAGCGACTGGCCGTCCCAGCCTGTTCCTGGTAATGACCTCTTTTCTCTGAGCTGTATTTTTCTTTTCTGGTACTGGTTCTCTTTCCCACTTACCCCTCCCCAGTGAAGGAAGTTGTGATATCTGGGAGGCGAAAGGAGACAAATGGAGCCATGTGAGCTTGGACCTTGTTGTCTTGTAATCAGAGAAACTTCACATTGCCCTTAGTGTGTAGCTGCTCTGTGTGCAAGCCAGTCCTGGACCCGGACAGACCCTTTTGATGCCATTTGGTAACATCTCCTGGGACTATTTCTTTCTCTCTCAGTGAGACTTTTCTGGGCCAAGAATGTATCTATCCTGCTGGGCCTCCTACCCGGTTTAGGACTCATTGCTGCTAAATAATGATGTGCCTTGTTTCAGAAACTGCTTCAGCCTCATTTCTGAAAAAATTATGTAAACAGTAATTGAAGTCCACATTCAGCATTTAAAACTTGATATGTAAAATAGTGAACCTTACTCTTCAAATCATGAATCCCTTTGAGAGTGATGAAAACTGTGGTCTCTCCCAGGAAAAAGCACGTACGTGATCATCTCAAGGGCTAGTGGACTGATACCCCTGCAGACCCAGCTTCAGAACCCCAGGTTTAAAGGAACCCTGAAGTGAGCCCTTTGGTAATGTGTAGAGTCATGTATTAAAATGTTTGTATATCAGATTTTAAAAAGTAAGCCAACAAAAACAGAACACCTGTCATAGGGACCTAGAAGAGAATCGAAGAGCTAACCCAGATAATCTAACCTGATTTGAGGGATTATGGCGTCTCCAGAGCCCTGTGGCTCTTCTATGGCACTGGTCACTTTTTTTTTTTTTTTGGCTGTGCCTCTTGGCTTGTGGGATTTTTGTTCCCTGACCAGGGATTGAACTCTGGCCCTCAGCAGTGAGAGCGTGGAGTCCTAACCACTGGACTGCCAGGGAAGTCCCTGCACTGGTCACTTAGGGGCTGTGTGTGTGGGGTTTGGGGGAAATTCTATGGACCCCCAGCTTGCTTATCTCTTCCATGGCTGTGTTAGTAGTTTTCTCACATCAGTGTTGAAGCGGATGACTTGCTGGCAGCTACTAATAAGCAACTGCTACCCAGGAGGGTCCAGTCCCTGGGGGTGACAGATTGTGACTCCAACTGTCTCATCAGGGCATTTCCTCTTTTCTCATCACAGCATCCTGATGTCCTATGACCATGTAGAACTTACGTTCAGTGACATGAGGAATGTGCCAGAGGCCTTCAAAGGGACCAAGAAAGGCACCGTCTACCTTACCCCGTACCGGGTACGTTGTACAGCGAGACGGTTGGTTTGGCGAGTCAGTTGTTTTGGAGACTCATGGCTCCTGGAGGCTGATGGAGTCTTCGGTCAGCCTCAGCCTCGTGAGTCTAGTGGCCGCTGAACCCTGGTGAATGTTAGCGTGTTTCTGTCACATGCTCCTGGTTCTAGAACCACCAGCCTCTCTTCGCACAGCAGAACTGATGGCAGTGAATCCGTGTAAGTTCCAGAGCTGCTGCTGCAAAATCTCTCTGTAGTTGGATGCAGCTGCTGGGATGACCTGGGCCTGGAGGGGATACAGTAGCCTGGCCGCAGCCTTGGGAGTGGGCAGAGAGACCGGCCAAACCCTGCAAAGCGAGAAATGCCAGACTGCAGTATGGGCCTTGCCTGGGAGTTCCCCAAGCAGACTCTGAGAGACTTCCAGAGAAACACAGATGGATATTCTTGGGAGAGGATCGCTGCCTGCAGCTATCCCAGAGTTAGACTTAAGGATCGTTAGAGGAAGAGGAGCACAGGCTTTAGTGGAGACCGGGGTGGGGGGGTGTCTCAAAACCCTATCTCTGGGGGTTCAAGCTGGCATCTTCAGTCACAGATTGAAGTCATGGGGGTAAAGCAGAATGTTCCCCACGTGCAGGGTGGGAGATGCTGGCTGTTGGGCAGAGTCTGCAGAAAGGTTAGGATCATCCCTTCTCCTGGGATCTGCCACCCGCTGCCATTCCCTCTTCTCAGTTCTGTGAAGCTCAGGCTGAGCTCTCCCTTCAGGAGCCCTTCCCTGCTTCGGCCCTGCCTCTCTGCCCTGGCCTCGCAGGCCCTCCACTTAGGCTCCACATCCGCCGTCTCCTCACCACCACGTCTCAGTGGCAGAGCAGTCTGTCCTGCTCACACGTGCTGTCTGAGCCACACATTTTTCTTGTGAAGTCACATGTCTGGCCTCTCCAGCCCGGCTGCATCTGAGGCCTTTTACTCTAAAAAGCGCTCTCCGGGGCTGGCTGGTGCAGAGAGCGCCCTGGGGCTGCCGGGTGCTGGCTCGGGCCACCCGCCCCGGCCCTGGGAGGTGATGGCCTCCCGCACATAGGAGGCGATGGCCGGGCAGGCCATGGTTCGGGTGGGGATGGCCCTTGTTCTCTCTCCCTGCAGGTCATCTTTCTGTCCAAGGGGAAGGATGCCATGCAGTCCTTCATGATGCCGTTTTATCTGATGAAGGACTGTGAGATCAAGCAGCCTGTGTTTGGAGCAAACTACATCAAGGGAACAGTGAAGGCTGAAGCGGGAGGTAGGTGACAAGGGAGCTTGGGGACACCGACGGGGCTTCCAGAGAGGTGCTCTGGGGCATCTCTGACTGCTGCCCTGGAGGTGTCCTCTTTGGACCCTATCACTCTAGCCGTGTCTTCTTCCTGGCTCTGGATCAGCTTCCAAGACCAGCACTTGGGCTGCCAGCTGTTCAGCAGGGGGAAGTTGCCAAGAGCTGGAAAGTGCTAACGTTAAAGATGACGGCTCAGGTCACCTTTTCAGAGAGGGGAGTCAGCAGGATGACTGTAAACCAAGTGAAAATGCTTACTGTGAGCTGGGGAGTGTGTTCAGATGTTAGGTGTGGGAGGGAGCTGTATCAGGTTCTTGGGAAGGGTCTTGCCCCTAGAGCCAGGCAGAACCCGCTGCCCCTCTGTAACGCCCGGAGAGGCCCTGCTTGGTGTCAGGCTCTTTGCAGACCCCAGAGACCCCTGCGTCGAACTCGCCTTCCCGCTCACGTTCAGCCTGGCCCGAGCCTTGCTGTTGAGCTCACAGTTCCCCTTTGGACAGAAGCCAGGCTGGAGGGGCCCGGGGTTCGTCCTCAGGCCCCCGCGGGATGAGAGACCTGTTCTGAACTTGAACGTCAGTTGTTGCTGGGCGTGCTTGTTGCTGAGAAGCTGCCTTACTGGGGGTGGGAGGCCTGAGTGCAGACGTGCTTACAGGGCTGCGCAGTAAGCGGGCAGGAGGTGGCCGGTCTGCAGCACTGGCGTGCGACGTGGGTGGTGAGCCTCCTGGCCATTGGATGGGGCCTGAAGACGACGAAGAGCCATCTCTTCAGACGTAACCTAAGTTCTTTTCCGGAGCTGTTGATGCCCTGTTCCCTTCTCAGGTGGCTGGGAAGGCTCTGCGTCGTACAAGTTGACCTTTGTGGCAGGGGGCGCCATTGAATTTGGGCAGCGGATGCTACAGGTGGCATCTCAAGGTATCAAGGCTCTAAAAACCAGGGGCCAAGGCCACATTGAATGTGTGTGCTGTCTGCTCATTTGGGTTTGTTTACTTTTTGTTTTGTTTTTTAAGCAGTCAGGAGATGAGCTTCTGGGCCCCAGGCTGCCCAGGGCTGGGAGTTGGGAAGGAAGCCTGTAATGAAATCACCCTCCTGTACCTCAGAGGCTGGGTTTCCCCTGCCTGGAGCAGGTACAGGACATTTTAGCAAAGCTGTTTGGACTCAAGGACATTTTACTGTGGCCTCATAGAAACAAACAGAAACTCAACCATTAAGCTACCATCAGGCAACCATTTTAAGTCCCCAAGGGCTGTGTTCAGCAGACCTCCTCACCTCGTCCCCAGCCTCACCCAGCTCCATTCTCTACCCCACCTCTAGCCTCCTTCTTCCCTCCATCCATCCCTCCACCCCTGTCCTGGACCTCCTCCACCCCAGCTCTGACCTCTCTCCCCATCCAGACCCCTCGCCTCATTCCTGACCGAGGTGGACTCCAGTGGGGAGGGGTGAGGCGTGTCTGCTGTGCGCATTCCTGGGACCCTGCAGCTCCCCTCGGCAGGCGGTGGGAGCGCCCTCTCCCCAGAACCCAAGGCCCGCGACACTCATTTCTTTCTCCCCTTGTGCTATAGCCTCCCGAGGTGAAGCCCCCAACGGAGCCTATGGTTACTCTTACATGCCCAGCGGGGCCTATGTCTTCCCCCCACCAGTCGCCAATGGAATGTACCCCTGCCCTCCTGGCTACCCCTGTCCACTGCCCCCAGCTGGTGAGTGTGTCCTTTGCTGCCCACGCCTCCCCCCCACTGACCACCCTCACCCAGGCCAGGGGATTGTAGAGGGGAGACTTGTTCTTTGGCTTCAGGACTGACAGAGCAGCTGGAGGGCCTGGGAGGGTACCAGCTACAGGAGCCGGGGCTGGGCTGCTCACTGGGTCCCCGTCACTCTCTTGCCGAGCAGAGTTCTATCCGGGACCTCCCATGATGGACGGGGCCATGGGGTACATGCAGCCCCCGCCGCCGCCCTACCCTGGGCCCATGGAGCCTCCAGTCAGCGGCCCCGATGTCCCCTCCACTCCTGCAGGTGAGGGCCCTGGCTTCTCCCCGTGGTTGCACGGAAGCCCCAGATAACGAATGACCACTGGCCTAGGGACGATCCCAGGGGACCGGCAGCGCGGTGGCCTGGTGGCGAAGGGGTAGATTCCAGCCCCCACTCTGTCCTTTAGCTGGCCACGTGCCCTGAGCCCAGGAAGGTCCCCCTCTGCACCGGAGTCTTCTCATCCACAAAACGTGCCAACGGCCCCACCTGTGGGGCTTGTGGTGAAGATGGGGGGTGGGGGGCAGGAGGTGTAGAGGGACCAGATGGGACGGTGTGGCACGCGGTAAGTGCTCAGGAAGGGTTCTCCACTGCTTTAGTGATGGAACTGCGTCCTCAGCACCCGCCGCCCCGAGCACCAGGGGGCCAGGGCCGTGGGGGCAGCGGAGGAGGCGGGGAGGGCTTGTCCCCGGGGCTCTTTCCCAGTTTGTGTGTTCTCACAGCTGAAGCCAAGGCCGCCGAAGCAGCCGCCAGCGCCTATTACAACCCAGGCAACCCACACAATGTCTACATGCCCACGGTGAGCGGGCTGGTGAGCGGGGGGGGGGGGGGCGTGGCACTGGCGGGACCCCCGCAGCCCCAGTTTGCTGGGATTTAGGGGCAGGAGAGACCTCGGCTTATTCCGACCCTTCTAATGTGATCTTTCCTTTCTTCCTCAGAGCCAGCCTCCGCCGCCTCCTTACTACCCCCCAGAAGATAAGAAGACCCAGTAGACCGCTCACACCCACCTCCTCCCGCCTCTCTGCTCTCTCCTCCCCTCCCCTTGGGGCTGAGTCTGGGGTGGGGGGCGGGCCTCGTCCTTTCTCCAGGTCTGATTATAAAGCAGTCGCCAGGAACTAGCCTGGCAGGGGGAGGGCCCCTTGACTTGGATGAATATAAAGCAGTCTCCAGGACGTAGCCTTGAGGGGTGCGGGGAGCGGTGCCTCCCAGCTTCCCACGTGAGCCCAGAGCCCACAGCGCTTCCCTCTCAGCATCCCCGGGGGGGCGTCCGCCTCGTTCCTGTCCTGCTCTCATAGCTTCTACCCACGGAGGGACTCTCTGGCCACCTCCTCCGCCGCAGTCCAGCTCTCTCGTTTTGTAGCCACTTTATCCTCACGAGCTTTGCCCTCCCCAGGGACCCCTGCCAGGCCCTACTCACATTCCATCCACTCTGGTCTGTACCTGGCTGTGGAAGGCCAGCTGTCTGCCGGACTGTCAGCCTACGTTCCATTCCCAGCCAGCCTCAGCCCCCGTCATGCTCGCCTTCCCTTCCCTGTCCTTGGTCATCCTGTTGCCACTGCTTTTGACTTCTGGAGCTTTCCCACGAGCCACCAGGGGGTGGGTGGCGTGAGGGCCAGGCTGCTGCAGCTGGGGAGGGAGCCCCTCTGCTTCCCTGCTAGTTTTTCTGGAATTTGTTTCCCTTTGCCTTCTCTCTTTTCCCTCTAGAAGGGGCTTCTTGGACTGGAACTGCAGAATGCATGTCCACTTGGGGGCTGCCGGGAGGGCTGGGAACAGACCCCTGGGGCCTGGCCTGGCCGCTGACCATGACCTCTCGCCAGCCCCTTAGCCTGCCCTCTTCCCTTTAAGCTTCTTGCCTGGTTGGTGATACGCCCCTGGATGCACTAAAATTCGCTCCCGTTTGCTCCTGGCCTGGCTGTGGAGAGAGGAAATGGTTATTTAAAGAGAATTCCCTATTTATTTGACAAAAAAATTCAGTTAATATATTAATGTGAAATAAACCCTGTTTGCACCTTGATTTGTCTGCTGAAAATGTGAACTTGTAAAAATGAGTGACTGGACCCTGCCCGGCTTCTGCGTGTGGTGACGAGGCTCTTGGGAAGGAGAGCCATCTGGCTGCTTGGGGCCGGGGGAGGCAGTGTTCCCTCCCGTGTGAGAGTCCCTTGTTCTCTTGGCCTATTTGGGCCCAGGATGCTAAGGCCTCTCCTGTGTCCATTCTGTGGCAGTTGCTCAGCAACTGTGCCCACCCGCTGAGTCCCCTGGGGCCTGGCACAGCCCAGCAGCTGCTCTGGGTGGGAGGCGTTGGCAGGAGGGGCCGGGCTGGACCGGAGTTCCTGCGTCCCTGGCTGCTGTGCTCACCGCCTTGCCTCGTGGGGGTTAGAGGGCACGTCAGTGAAGGCTAGCCCTTCAAGACTGGCCCCTGCAGTGCGGGCTCTGGTGCCACCCTCCTTGTGAACCCTGGGGCCGGGGCGGGTGGGAAACGGCCACCGTCCATGCCCAGGCCTGCACCCCCTGGACCCTGGCCTGGAGGGCGGCCCTGGGACCCTGTGGTGGAGCTCAGCCCAGCACCGAAGCGTCCATTTTCCTGTCCCTTCTGGGCCAAGTCGCCCTGTCAGGAGAGGCTAGGCAGTAGCGTCCCCAGCCTGTTCCTTCTGCAGCCCCGCCCAGCAGCTCCTCGGGTTGGCTGAGGCCCCTACAAGGGCATTTGAAGGGAGCAGCCGCCCGACCATCCTTATGGGGGCCGGGGCCGTGGGGCCATCCCTGCCCCGCGCAGCCTGGCCCTGTCACCTCGGTGGAATGTCACCTGGGGAGCAGAGCAGGCTGAGCGGTTGGCTGACAGCTGGGGAGGCGCCTCTCCGGAGCCTCCACCCTGTGCCCTGCCCACCCCTACTCCAGGTCTGTGGCCGGTTCAGGGAGACCTGAGGTTGAGAACCCCACCGGCCAGGGGAGCGTCCCCCGTCACCTGGATGCAGCAGGCCCGCTGCCCCCCTGCCCTCATGCCCGCTGCCCACGGCACTGGACCCTCCCCAGGGCCCCTGTGGGAAGGTGGGGTGGGGCGGACCCGCCCACCTGCTCTACCTCTGCCTCCAGCCCAGCTGAGTTCCTCCCAGGAACCCAGCCAGTGGGAGGGAGGAAGGAAGGTGCAGGGGCCTGGGAGCCGTGGCCCCCCAACCCCAAGGTGGTGAAACCCCGACCTGACCCTCCCGTGACCTGCCCTTCCTTCCCTTTCCCCTGGCACCGGGTGGCAGCCCTGGGCTCTTTGCATAACCCTGTGGCTTCCCTATCTTCACCCGAGGCAGCGGCACCACAGGCGGAGGGGAAGGGCAGGGCTGGCCACCATGGCGACGCTCTTCTCCCAGACCCAGCGGCGCCCTCCCCTTTTGCGCCAGGCCATCAAGATAAGACGCCGTAGAGTCAGAGATCTGCAGGAGGCCCTGCCCCACAGGGCTCAGGAGGTAGGAGGGACCTCAGTGGGGAGAAGAGCAGGCCTGGGTGGGGCTCTGCCCCCTCTGGGTGCGGGGTCCCCCCTCTTGTGGGCTGCGGCTGAGGATGTGTGCCCCTCTCCTGCCCACCCTAGCCTCTGGCAGAGCCTTTGGGGTCTGCAGAAGAGGGTCTGCCATGTGTTCTCTGGGCCAGCCTGGGCCTCAGGTCTGGGATCTGAGCCTTTCGGTGGCCCCTCCCTCTCGCGCCCCAACCCCAGCCATCCGCTGCTCCTCCAGTCCCAAAGATACCCGCTCCACTAGGCAGGGAGTGTCCGCTAGGGGCTGGGCCTTCGGGGGCCAGCTGAGCAGCCCCCAGGCCTGCTTGGCATGAGCCCCAGTCTCCCACCTCTGCTGCTGGGCCTCACTTCCGCCGCCGGGGTGCGGAGCGGAGCCGCCCGATAAGCAGCGCTGTTTCCTCTGGGGAAGGAAGGGAGGTTGGGGGAGGTTGAGGCCACGGGCGCCTGCTGGCGCAGCTGAGCTGGCACGGCTGAGCGCCAATGGACCCGAGCCACGGCAGGCCAGGGGATGAGGAAGGTGGCCCGGGTGCCGGACCCCCGGGAGCCCTGCTGTGGGAACAGGTGTGCGGCACTGGTGGGGCTGGAGGCCAGGTGCTGGGGCCCCCTCAGCCCTCGGGCTGGGCCTGCTCTGTGAGGAGCCGTTCCCGCGTCCGAGCCCTGGTCCAGGCCTCTGGGACACCTTGTCTTTCCACCTCGCTCCCCAGATCGAGCCAACATCCCACCACTTGTCCCCTGAGGAGGTAAGAATCGGAGTGTTTCCGGGGCGCAGAGGGGTGCTGGGAAGCAGCCCTGCATCCTCCCAGACACCCCCCTAGGCTGCTGGCCGAGGCTGGGTCTCAACCCCCTCCCCTCCGCTGCGCGTGTGGACGCCTGGTCCCCACCTCGGGCATGTGCCGTGAGTGCCAGGGGTGGCTGGTGGGGCTCAGACCTTGTGGTGGGTGGACGGGGGTTCCCAAGGTGACCCTGCTGTGTCTCAGCGGGCCCTGCTCTACGAGGAAGCTCTCTACACGGTCCTGTACCGCCTGGGTCAGCCCGAGCCCACCCATGTCGGGGAGTCCTCTGAGCTGCTGCGATACCTGCAGGAGGTGAGGCCAGTCCCCACTCCACCTGCCTCCCTGCAGCCTGGCCGTGTCCCCCCACTCCCGACCCGTGCCCCAAGCTTCCCACACTCCTACACCACCAGGCCTTCCGTATGGAGCCCAAGGAGCACGAGCAGATGCTGCGGCAGGTCCAGGAGCTCGAGGTAAGCCTGCCAGGGCTGTCCTGAGCAAACACGGGGGCTGGGAAGCCCAGCTCCCTCTGGGACTCAGGCCCCACCTCTTGTCGCTCCAGAAACCAATATTCTGTCTGAAGGCCACGGTGAAACAAGCCAAGGGCATTCTGGGCAAGGATGTCAGTGGTGAGTAGGCGATGGGGGGGCCCTGAGGGCCTTCTTCCTGGCTCCTTCCTCTCCCCATCACAGCCTGTCCCAGAGCTTGTGATGCAAGTTCCCATCTCCCAAACATCCCCTGGGGCTCACTTTGGTGCTGCTGGCCCCTTTTCCTTGGAGCCTGGGATGGAGAGGGGTAGGGGGTGTTAAGGACTCTCCCTGGGAGCCTAGCCAACACCCCTGCCCTTCCTCCCCAGGGTTCAGTGACCCCTACTGCCTGCTGGGCATCGAGCAGGGGGTGGGTGCGCCGGGGGACAGCCCTGGACTCCAGCGGCGGCAGAAGGCCGTGGTGAGGCACACCATCCCGGAGGAGCAGATCCACCGCACCCAGGTCATCGCCCAGACACTCAACCCCGTCTGGGACGAGACCTTCATCCTGTACGTGGCCCTGCCCCTGTTCCTACCCGCTCTGGGCCAGCAGCACTTCCTGGCTCGGGGGAGGGAGCTTGGTTTGACTGGAGGAGGAGCCTGCTCCCGAGGCAGGCAAGACTGACAGGAGGCCAAGCAGGACACAGCAATGGCTTAAATGCCACGTGCTGGTGGGCGGCGGAGGGTCAGGCACATCTGGGTTGATCTGGGGCATAGCCTGAAGCCTTACTTTAAAGGAGAGAGAGATGCTGTTGGGAGGGGAGGAGGGTTTGCAGGGAGGGACTAAGACGTGGCAGTGGGTGGTACTGGGTGGCAGTTTTGGGGGGCTGGCTCGGGGCTGAGGTAGCCTGTGGCCTGGCCAGGAGTCTATCCCTCCAAGACCCTCAGCCATGCTCTTTTCTCACTACAGGGAGTTTGAGGACATAAGCAATGCCAGCTTTCGTCTGGACATGTGGTGAGGAGCATGTCCCCCCCCCCCCGCCATGTAGGGGTTGGGAAGAGAAGGGGGCCTGGAGGTGAGGGTGGCAGAAAGGGGTTGGGGGCTCCCAGGACACCCTCTCCGCCTCCTGCTCAGACCTCTGCCCCACCAGGGACATGGACACCGTGGAGTCCGTCAGACAGAAGCTCGGGGAGCTCACAGATCTGCACGGGCTGCGAAGGTGAGGGCCGTGGGTTTCCCCTGGGGAAGGAGTCGGGGCTCCTGCTGCCCTGCCTCCACATGCATACTGGTTGTTGGGCTGCAGGCTCTCACCTGGGCCCAGGTGGCTGCAGGTAGGGAGCAGATTCCAGCCTGACCCGGTCAGGCTCCTGGTCCCTCTCCCTCACGGCACCCTGCCTGGAACAGGATCTTTAAGGAGGTCCGGAAGGACAAAGGCCAGGATGACTTTCTGGGGAACGTGGTTCTGAGACTACAGGTGAGTGGAGTGGGGAAAGGCTCCCGGGAGAGAGGCAGAGAGGAGGTGACGAGGGGATCAAGGGAGGGGTTCCAGGTCTGCACCCAGCGGAGCCTGGGGTCTGCCTCCCATCGCCTCCCCTGCCCCCGACCGGGTGAGGCTCCTGCGGCTCACAGGTGTGGGCATCCCCTGCCCGCCCGGCCTGCCAGGACCTGCGCTGCCGGGAGGATCAGTGGTACCCTCTAGAGCCTTGCACGGAGACCTACCCGGACCGTGGTCAGTGTCACCTCCAGTTCCAGTTCATTCACAAGCGGGTAGGTAGCCCGGCTGGGTGGGGAGGAGGGGTGCACTGGGCGTGGGGTCCTCTGCTCACGGCCGCGCCGGCCCCCCTGCAGAGAGCCACCATGGCCAGTCGCTCGCAGCCCAGCTACAGAGTGCATCTCCACCTGCTGCAGCAGCTCGTGTCCCACGAGGTCACCCAGCACCAGGTACTGCCCTCCCGGGGCTGGGCGGGGCCAGGGTCTGCCTGTCAGGTCCTGACACCCTCCACCTGTCCCCTCAGGCGGGCAGCACCTCCTGGAATGGGTTGCTGAGCCCCCAGGCTGCCACCGTCCTCTTCCTCCACTCCACGCAGAAGGACCTGTCCGACTTCCACCAGTCCATGGCGTGAGTGCCCTTCCGAGCCCGAGTGCCCGAGGGCCGTCTGCGCCACACCACCCTCTCCCTCCCTGCGTGCCCTCCTGCAGGCTGACAGCCCGAAGTCTAACCCTCAGGAGATTTCTGTTTGGGGCCCAAATTGTATTTTAAGTTTTGAGTCAGTTGCTGAC